AGCATCCAAATACCTTTATTATTAAGACCCACTATTTGCCCTGCATATAGGAAGAGTTAAATTTTCATTTTACACTTACTAAATAAGTGGTTTTTTGGTTGTCGTTTGTTTTTTGTTTTGTTTTATCTTAATGGGAAACTTGAAAAGTGACCTCTGGGTTTGAACCCAAATACCCCTGTTCGACTAAAACAGGTGGCACCAACACTTGGAAATATTATTTCTAAAACTTACTGGCTGAAGAGCTTGCCAGGGTGGGGAACATTCTTGGGTTCTTCCTTGGAATGATGACTTTTTGCCTTTGTTGGGAAAATCACCTCTCTGGGCTCTTCTCCACTGTATAAATGATGGTCCTTCTCTCTGGTCATGTAGCTGCCCTGGGCGGGTCTCCATGCCTGGGTGCCTCCTATGCTTGGGTGCGGTGTTGGGTGCTGAGGTTGGACCACACAGTCCCGGGGGGAAGCTAGGCTGGATGGGGAGGCAGGAGGTGGGAGGGGAAGAGCCTGTGATCACGGTCAGGAAGAGGTGACCATGCTTGATAGATCACTTTTCCTGTGTGATCACCTACCCCCAACTTAGTGGCGTGACACAGAGACCATTCTTCTTTACTGCTCCATTGTGTGGGTCAGGGATTCGGGCCATGATCAGCGGGGCTGTTTTTCTGCCCTGCGTGGTATCACCGTCACTTGGTAATAGCTGGGAGATAGGCTAGTCAGGAAGGTTCAAGCTGCTTCATTCATATGGCTGGTGCCTTAACTGGGTGCTTAGAAAGCTGAGCTCAGCTGAGCCTGCCGACTGGAGTACCTAGATATAGGCCCCCCAGCATGGTGGTGGTCCCAGGTCTCTCCCATGGCTCTTAAAGGCACAAAAGACCCAGGCAGAAACTGCGAGGCTCTTTCAGACTTGGCTCAGAATGTCTCCCCACATCACTTCCCTCCCCATCCTGTTGGTAAGCAAGGCCCTAAGGCCAGCCCAGCTGTAGGAGTTAGACTCCACCCCCCCACCCGCCCAACCCCCACGTGGGAGAAGTCCTTGGCACATGTGGTCCTCTCTGATCTGCCACACTGATCTGAGAGCCAATGGGAAACTTTCAGGGTGGGCTGGAGGTTGGACAGGTGATGGCAGGATCCATGGCCAAATGTACTTTTTGGTTTGGAGCAAAGATCAGGTGATAGTGATAGTCCAGGAGTATCAGAAGCAGGACTGTGGGAGAGGGGCGCTCTGCGGCGATTCTCGGCCATGAGGGGAACATGGAATGGGAGGGGAGGCTCAGAGGGAGACCCAGGGTCAGGGGCTGGCTTGTGTTTCCTTGTTCACTCTGGAGATGGATGGGGTCCCCAGAAGCCTGTATGCCATTACCCCTCTGCCCCTCCACCCTGTGCAGCCGAACAGGTCCCCAGGTGCTACTGATACTTGTCTTACGGCGCTCAGCCGTGGCTGCAGGTGCGTCTCCCTGTGTGGCTGACAGATACACGCCTGCGGCCGTGCACCGGACTCCACACGTGAAGCTCTCGAGACTTTGGCGCGCATGTTTGATAAAGCTTCCCCGGAGGTTCTGAGGCTTACCTCGCACTGAAGACAACACTTTGGAACTTTTCAGCTGATCTTCCCAGTCCTTTCCTCGCCGCTTTTAGTCTAGGCTGTTAACTACTGGGACCAGTAACCACCGGCGTGGTGGTTCAAGACCACAGAATGGATTCTCACGGTTCTGGAGGCCTCCAGCCTGGAACCACAGTACTGCCAAGGTCACGCTGTCGCGGGGCGGCTCTGGGGGGCGGGGTCCTTCCTTGTCTCTTCCCGCTTCTGGAGGCTCCCGGCATTCCTTGGTTCACGATTGTCCGTTTGTAGTTTCTGCATCTCTGTGCACACGGTCCTGTGTGACTCTTACACAGATGCTTGTTTCTGGATTTAGGGCCCTCCAGTAACCTAGGATGATTTCATCTCCTCAGCTTTAACTATATCTGCAAAGACCCTTTTCCCAAAGGATCCGGGACATGGACCCATCTATTTGGGGGCCACCATTCAACCCACTACACTTGCCTGTGGTTCGGCCGGCTGTCCTGTCTGACCAACTTGACTCCAGTCTGCCAGTCATCCGGCACTCTGCTGCCTCAGCCATTACCTTATGTCCGGTCGTGTTAGTCCTTTGCTTACATCTTACCGCTCCCCATTCTTCCAAAGCGCCACACCCTCATGGAGCGCCAGGCTCTCATTGTCACCTTGCCCACTACAGCTCTTCCATGGGCCTTGATGCTCTCACAGTACTGAATTACCCTCACTCCTTGCCTTTGTACGTACTGTTGCCCTGCATTCCCATTTAGTCCGGTTCCTGTTTCGAGACCATTCACACACTGCCTCTTCCACGAAGTTCTCCCTGATGCCTCTTCCCACGTGCTTTGTGCACTAGTCCCATCTTGTTGCAGGTCTTATCACACTTGTTCTTATACCTTTCTCTGCTCTTAGGTGGAGAGATCTGAAGACCGGGAAGCCGATATTCATCACTGTAGCTCTAGGACTTGGCATTTTTAATACTGAACAACCATGTAGCTTCACCTAATTAGAAACTTGTCTCATCATAACACTGGTTTTTCCACCATCACCTTGATTATTTCTGGTACGATTGTTCCCCGATCATCATTTAGCTGTATTGAGTGAGTAGGTAATCTGTCTGTAGACTGGCATAGTGTTGGCTTAACGTGCAGCATCTGCTTCTATGCTCAGGTCTTTTTAAACGCTTCTGTAGAAGTTAAGGTGATCCTAGTTTTTGTGCCCCTCACCCCCTTTATAGTAGATAGGACTTGGGGGTTGTAGGTAGCAGAAGCCAACTTGAGCTAGCCGAAACGAAAGATGTGTCATGAACAAGGGTCGGCGTACAACAGGGCCAACACAAGCCCTGAGGATCCTCTTTGTCTCTGGTCACTGCTGTCTGTTCGTCTGCTTCATTCCTCACTTTGGTGCCGCTGTGTCATGTGACCGGTTGGGACATCCCCGCGGTTGGTGCACTTACATCGTACAGCTCTGGCTGTCCACAGACCCTGGCTGGCTTTCTCTCTGTCCCAATTTTGAGTTTTCCATAATGAGCATGTCCTTGGCCAGTGTGTGCCAGATGTCCACCCCCAGCCATTCAGCTACAGTGAGGTGGGGAGTGTGCTGACTGGGCCAGTTCTCTCAGCCATGGTGCCTCACACACCTGAGGCCATTAAGAGATGGGTTCCTGAGAGGGTGTGCAGACGTGAGGGATCCCTAAAAGCATCTGACACCCTCTTGCCGTGTTAGATCTCAGCCAGTAGCGTGTAGTTGGAAGATGGGTCCGGGAGCTGGGGAGACATGAGAGGCACAGGAAATGCTTCCAGATCTTGTCGCGTTTGCCTCTGGGTCTCAGTGGGGAACACCATTCCTCTAAACTGTTGGGAGTCCTAGCTTTAATTCATTTATATATATTTCTCTTAATACAGAATGTTCATCTTGATTTAAGTGATCTGGAAATATAATAAAACAAAGTGGGCTTACGATGGTGGTTTACTCCCAGATAGTTTCATTATAGTAGCAATCACAAATCTGTGTAAGAAAACCATGCATGTTTTGATCTTGCCTCACAAAGACGAGACTCGCAATAAATCATCTCTGTATTCTAGAGATACTTTTCTGTAGCTGATGTTCCTTTGTGATGGAAATGGAAACAGATTAAAAACACAGCAGGAATCAGTTCAAGTGATAATTTAAATCCATGATCAAACTGTAGCTACTGAATTATAAAACAAATTCTTTGTTTCCACTTTTATTGAGGGCCCCCTCTGCCCTCCTGGCCACCGTGTCCTGGGCATGGCTCAACAGGAGGCAAAGGGGCATGGCTCAACAGGAGGCAAAGGCAAGACTTCCAAGTTGAACTTCTCTAGAGAAGGGGGTGGAGAACAGTCCTGTCAGCTGGGCGACAGGAGACACTGGTCAGAACATACACATACAGGGGCCCATTAAAGCCAGAGTGAGAAATACAATCGGAAAAAGAAATATGAAGTGTAGTCCTGCATTTCTTTTATTTTTATTTATTTTTTTAAAGATTTTATTTATTTGACAGAGATCACAAGTAGGCAGAGAGGCAGTCAGAGAGAGATTGGGGGAAGCAGGCTCCTTTCTGAGCAGAGAGCCCAACTCAGTCCCAGGACCCTGAGATCATGACCTGAGCCTAGGCAGAGGCTCAACCCACTGAGCCACCCAGACGCCCCCTGCATTTCTTTTAAATACAGATATTAGCTTAAGGTATTAATGTGGGGAATCTGCATAAGGACGTTGTTTTTCAGATGACTTTTTAAGTTGTTGGACAGTTTGGACCACGATTCCTCCTCCTTACCACCCCCTCGCCCCCCCGGGCCCCTTTATGGGCAACCTTCTTGTGAAGTCCTGTTTTATGTTTAATTTTCACAAGGTGTTTTTGCTCACCTGACAGTTTAAAAGTTCAACTAGAAATGAGAGTGAATGTGGAGAATTTAGAACTTTTAAGACTGCAAGTAACTAAATTTGGTTTTCTTACACATAAAGATCCTAAAGACATTAACATGATTTGGGAGTGAGAGATGAGGTTTAATTAGCATGCTATTTTCTAACTAGTTCATTTAAAAATATTTCTTGAGTGCTTCTCTGGGGTCCATTAGAACAACACTTGCTAAATTGAGCCGGCTCTAATACAGCCTCTGCAGAATTCTCATTTGCTTATTTATACTGTCTCTTTCCAAAAAGATTTGAAGAGTCTCACTTTATAGGATAGGAAACCTATAATTACTTTGTACATCACTCTTAAATTAAGTTTCTAGAAGTGATTTGAATTTCATTACAGCTGAAGTCTCCTTTGCAGCCCATTCCTTCTGTGGGGTGTTTAGTGGGCGATGTTTTTCTTTTTCTTTTTTTTTTTTTTTTGTGACCATCCCTGTCTTTTCTCTTATTCCATCTTTTTGTCTTAAAACTTTAAAAAAACCTACAAATAAATGAACTTTGGTTTTTGTTTATAGGTACAATGGTGCTTTACCTAATGGAGACCGAGGCCGGAGGAAAAGCAGATTTGCTCTCTATAAGCGGCCAAAGGCGAATGGAGTCAAACCCAGCACGGTCCACGTGATATCCACGCCGCAGGCGTCCAAGGTAGGTGGCTCCTGCAGTATTGGGAAGGCCTTGGTGGGTGGTGACTCAAGGTCACTTCTTGTCTTGGCTGGTTTTTTTGTTTTGTTTTGTTTTGTCCCAGTTGCTTTTCTTTTTTCTTTTGGTGGACAGTTTCTCAGTCATTGAGGCCAGATAGTTTTTTGTTGGGATGGGCTGTCCTGTGCTTTGTATGTGAGCCACATCCCTGGCTTTGACCCACTATATCCCCACCCCCAATTGCCACTGCTGTTGAGACAACCAAACAGGTCTCCAAACATGGCCATATGGCCCCTGAGTGGTGGTCGGCAAATGCCACCCGACCCCACCCCCTGCCACGATGGACCGCTCACTGCTTGGGATATAGTGGAACCAACATATGTCAATTTAGAATAGTTGTGGTTGAAGGGTAAATGATGTTCTGTATCCTAAAGAGTTTTTGCAGTAAGTCTTAGTAAAACCTCATTAAGATTTGTTCTTTTCCTTCTATTTATTGAGTAGTAGTTTTCACATAATCTGCATCTACATGGAATTGAATTTGGGTGATTACTAGAAAGACTGGAAGCAAACAGCTAAGTTGTGTAAGAAATGTACTATATCTCCTCTCATAGGTTTGAAACATATAAAATGTTAATTTTTAAGACTACTTTATTTTCTAATATGGAAATAGGGAGAAACCTGAGTTTCCATTCTGGTTGATATGTTCCATCTACTTAGATAGGAACATTTTCTAATTAAGTAAATTATTTAACTTGTAACATAGTTTCCTTTTCTATAAAAATTATATCCCCCTGAAATATTTCATGTGGTGCATTGGCTATACATGTTTATCATAATGGGTTTGAACCATCTGGAATAAATAAGACTTAATTCCCATTTTTACTGAAAATCCATAGTTCAAAGGGAAATGAATAGCTTCAAGGAAGCATGTGTGGTATTTATGCTCTGTCCTAGAAACTGATCACCTTGGTTAATGTTTTTATTTAAAAAAAAAAAAAGCTGCTGGTGTTATTTCTGAAGCTGTGCCATGGAAAAAATTTCCTAGAATGTACCAGTTAAGATTGTCTTATATTAATGAGGGAATGGTTAGATCCAAAAATATCAAACACCAAGGAAACAGGAAAGATTAATATTTAGCATCCAAGGTTTTGGCTAGAGAAAGGGAAATAAAGTAAGTTCTAGGAAGGGAAGGACGCTGGATAGGGAAAACAAAGGAAATGAGCTTTACAAAGATTCTGAGAAAAGGGGAAGTGAAGTAACAGTCTTGGGAGATTAAGGAAGTAGGAGAAATATTTTATAGTCGAAAAATATTTGGAGGATACGAAGACAAAGGTGTTTGAGCATGTGATCAGTGCCAGAATGCTCTGATACTGTAGACCCGGTCTTCATATTTGTCCGTGGATTGGCATTCGTCTTCCCTTCCCCTCGCTCTGTACTTTTATTTTCCTTAAGCTTGGATTTGATATTGATACAGTGGCTTCAGATATTTAAGAACATTTTTATAGAAATCTTCTTGAGTCCTCAGGCTTCGCATTGTGATAAAATATGAAATACAGCTGGAATTTGAAATAGATCTTCTGGTAGCCACTTTCAAGATCAGTGGCTTTTCCCTTGTTTTTTTACCCACCTCCATCGGCTCCAATTTTAGCTTTTTATAAAACTTTAACCTTTTATACCTAGATTTTACCTAACATTTAAATAACTCTAAACCTTTTGGTCTCAATCTGTGTTTATGGTCTCCATTACTAGGAGTAGGGAAATTGCTCTTTGGTCTTGTAACCTGGGAAAAATCTATATTCTCGGGGCCTCGGTTTCCTCCTCTACAAAATGAATGAGTTGGCTGTAGACAGGAGCTATGCTGAATCCAGCAAGACACTTTGGTTATAAGCAACACATGATTCTGGCTTGGGGGAAGAAAAAAAAAAGGGGGAAAATGGAGAAATTATTAAAGGCTAGAGGGCAGGAACAGCTCAGAGAGAACCAGACTATCAACGGGGGTTAATGTGGACATTCTTGAAAGGTGTTGGAAAGTGACTTGGCTCCAACTACCTTTCTGTCCCCTTTGAGATTTTCAGTTGTGAGGAAAGGGACGCTGCTAGGCCTGGCGGGGGTCATTTGGCTAGGACTGAGGGAGAGGAGTAGACCAGACACGCTTACTGTGAGTGGATCAGCTCGCCCTTACTGCCTCGCCCTTCTGCATCTTACTCCTCCTGGTGCCATGTGCGTGGAGGGCCTCACGCGCAGGATTCCATCCCACCTGGGCCCAGCCCCTTGGTCCTCACTCCTTCTGTTCCCACCCCTGATCAGCTGTGCCCTGCCCCTCCGGCTGCCACCTGCTCTGTTGACCCCTACACAAAGTCTCTTAGACATTTAACCTTTCCTTCAAATGTTCCTCCTCTTGCCTCACCTGAACTGAATGCTGATTTTCTTTTTCCCCCCACCAATAGTCTTTTTTCCTCTTCCCCTTCTCCCCACCATCTTTCCAGTTTATGGAACTAGAAATGATTTCATTGTGTTTCCCTTTCAGTCTGTTCTTTATCCCTACATTATTGACATAAGCTGCCTCTTCCCCTGCATCTCTTGGCCTTACCCACCTGCAGTCCATCTTGTGCATATTTTGGTGATTGTGTACTTGGGCCCCTCTGTTTCCCCTAACCTGTGTTAAACCATACATTGGCATCCTTGGGTGATAGTTTGACTCTCCCTTCACTTTTCCCACTTATATAGTGTACCTTAGAGTCCACTGTCACTTGAAAGTGACCATACTCTCCAGTAGATTCTACTTGTGTACGCACAGCTTTCTTGTCTAAAGACCTTCAGCCTGTCCTCAGCTCAGTTGTTAGCCCACTTGGGTTTTGCAGTAACGTGTTGACTTCACCCTGGACTCCCTTTCTCTGGTACCTGTGGGCACCCTTCTTTGTGAGTCTCTGCCTCTGGACCCATCCCAGGGCCTGCTGGCCTGTTTTTACTTCTTTCTTGCTCACACCATTTCCTGTCAGAATGCCAGGGTATGTGGTGTACTTGGCAAAAGCTGTTGGGCCTGTATCAGCCGTGGTTTGTCTGCTCTGAAATTTCTCATTCTGCGGTATGGGTAATGAAAGGGTCCTCTTTGATTTGGACTTGGCAGACAGGAGACCTAGAACGGCAGGTGTGGTTACCATGGTTAATCAGAAGGCCAAGTGCTGACATCCTATGTTTCTTCTGTCTGCCCCACCACCTGGGGGCACACCAAGGTATACCCCCTTGTGAATAGTAGTGGCTGCTGGAAAGTGGGGCCTCTTAGTCTTCGTGCGTGCCCCTGTCCACACAAAGTCCCGTGAGGACGTCAAGGACGTGCTACTGTTGGGTAATCTCGTTCGTATAATCTCTCCTCGTGTGTATATTTACTCTTGAAATAGTAATACTCAGCTATTTCATCTCTTATGTAATTGTTTAAAGAAAACCTAGAGTAAAACCTTGTTCTACTTCTGGCAGCTCTGTTACATGGGCATAGGGCATTTAGCAGTTTATTCACTATTCGTCTATTCATGTATTTACGCAGCACATTTCTGTGGCCCAGCATGCGCTAGGATTAGTTCTGCTGCGGTGTGCAGACCTTGTCTGCATGGAGCGAATTGTCTAGTGAGGAGGCAAACAGTGGGTTCTCGTGTGAACACATGCTTAGCTGCACGTTGTGCAGGGCAGGAAATGATGATGGAGCTGTGAGAACAGGGATAGGGCTTGGATGGGGTGGACAGGGCAGGACCTCTGAGGGCACGGGAGCTTCGAGGTGAGGGCTCAGGAGGAGTTAGCCAGGAGAGCAGAGCGATCTGGAACAGAGATTTGGGTTTTTTCTAAAAGGAAACATCGGAGGGTATTAAGTAGAGGACGTGGCCTCATCAGACTGAGAATTTAAGTCCTTTTTTGTTTGGTCATTTCCTTTTAAGGCTGTGGGGCAACTGTTTTGCTCCTGACCAGTAAATAGGCCAGTGGTGGCGATGGTGACTATTTTGGTATCACCATGGTTTAAATTTAGCCACGTCATGGAGGAAAACTCTTGATCATCGTGTTCCCTTGTAGGCTGTGCTTTATTGAAATCTCCTTTTTTGGGCATTTTTATTTTTCAAAAGTGACAGACTATCCCTTTGTTCCAGTTGGCATATTTCAGAATGGAAAATATCCATGCTCTCGGAGTGACCGTTGAGCAAGAAGTCAGAACCATTTCAAGTGACCATTGCAGCCAGGACCATTCTTGAGCTCTTGGTGCTGCGACGGCTCTCCTGGTTGATACTGACCCTCTTCTGTAGCAGTAAATGATATGGTAGTAACTCAGACATGCTGATATAAACTGCAACGTAAACTCATTAGTTCAAGCTAATTTTGTAGGCTGTAGCGGGGTCTGCTTTTGAAGCATTGTCTGTCTCTCCAGCCTGGGTCTTGGTGCAGTGGGAGGTCTGTCTCTGCTGCACGGTCATTCTGAAGCTGCAACCTTCTGTGCTTGAGGAATCCCCTGTTTATCATTATCCTCAGACTGTTCAATGCAGCTTTTAAATAGTTGTCTTTTTGTTGTTGTTGTTGTTTTACTTTGTTTTATTTATAGAATGGAATCTATCTTAATGATTTTGACAAAGTATAAACCCAAACAACCTAACTTTATGCCTCAAAGAGCTAGAAATGGGAGCAACAGACTAAGCCTGTAGGTAGGAGAAGGGAGGAAATAACAAAGGTCAGATTAGGAGCCAATGGAGAGAAAAAAAGACAATAGAGAAGAGCAACGGAACTAAGAGCTGTTTTTTTGAAAATATAAAGATGAATCTTTAGACTCACCAAGAAAACAGGACTCAAAATTAGACATTACAGTTGCTGCCACAGAAATAAGGAAGATCATATGAGATTACAGTGAACCATCCTATGCCAACAAATTGATCAATGCAGAAGAAATGGATAAATTCCTAGAAACATACAGCCTACTGAGTCATGAGGAAATAGAAAATCTCAACAGACCAATTATTAGTAAGGAGGTTATT